ATACTACACAGTGTACCATACTACACAGTGTACCATACTACACAGTGTACCATACTACACAGTGTACCATACTACACAGTGTACCATACTACACAGTGTACCATACTACACAGTGTACCATACTACACAGTGTACCATACTACACAGTGTACCATACTACACAGTGTACCATACTACACAGTGTACCATACTATACAGTGTACCATACTATACAGTGTACCATACTATACAGTGTACCATACTATACAGTGTACCATACTATACAGTGTACCATACTATACAGTGTACCATACTATACAGTGTACCATACTATATTCGCCTTCAGATTCTGCAATTCGCCCGTCGAATCTGTGAACTTTTAAAAAGACTTTTCGTTTTTCCTCAATAACTCCCGAACGGGTGGTCGTAGGGGGGCGTATTTAGGCTCATTTTGTAGGGGACGACGAGATCTACAATTTCTGCAATTTTTCCGTATCTCCAACGGTTTGAGAGTTATTGGCAAAAAACGAAAATTTTGCTAAATCTGAAGGGGTACCCCTTGGAAAAATCTCAGAAAAATCGAAAATTTTATTTTGTCAAAATTTCGAAAAATGCTTCGAATAAAAGTTGTAGGTACTGCTATTACCCACAAAAAAGGTCGTATACAATTTTCTTCTATCTCGAATACTTCAGAAATAGTCGAATTTTGTGCGCCACGCACAACGAATTGACGAGTCGAATTTTGGTCGCTAAATAATTAACACGTACAGTTCATCTCATTTTATTTATTTCGCCCATTCTACATTCTACAATATTTAGAATTGTATAGGTAAAAAGAATAGATATTCGCGTTATTCGTGGACACCGTTGTCGGAGCGTGGGTATAGGCAGTCGGTACGGTGAACGCGGTTAGATTCCGAGGGACCGGGAACAGGCGGGTAGGAAGAGGCTAGTCACCGGTAGCTAGGTGGCCAGTTAGCGGCCAAGTGTCGTGTTTGCGTTGGCTCGTCGTAAACCTGCCGAGAGGAGAGACCCCGGATAGCCACCGTGGAGGAGGCTGCGCCCATCTTTTCACCCTTCCTTCTTCTCTTCCTCTTCCGTCTCGCCTCGCATCGATTGAATATCGTCCGGCTGACACCGGACCAGCCGCTTCTCGGATCGCCGTTCGTGTAAAATCTGCCTGGGAATACGCGGAAAATAATACCTGACCAATGCCAACTGCCGACGCCGTTTCCCTCGATTCCGCGAAACGCGAGACCCTCCGTGCTCGCGCGGACATCTATTTATTTCAATGGGTCGTATTAATTAAAAATTGGCGGGTGCAAAAACGTTGTCGCCGAGTCGTTCATAGAACGAATAATTAAGCGGTCGTCGCCGAAACAGGTTTCGATTCAGCGTAGCAGGGGGAAAAAGGTTTCGGTGGTTTCTTGCCGAGGAGACCTTCGATCGATCTTTGAATGCAGACGCATTCCGCGGGAAGAAAGTATCCGGTACGCTCGAAACTCACGGTACCGTGGACTCATGAAAGTCGATGAACTGGCCCGATTCGTTCGAGAGTGTCGACGTCGACGACGTTACCATCGCATCGCATCGCATCGCATCGCATCGCATTGCATCGCGTCTGTTCTAAGATCGGCGAGGGACCATAGGGAAGGGCTTCGTCCAGCAGACTCCGATAATAGCTTCATTTGAAATTCATAATAGGAAACGGTTTCCGGGTCGCGAAGCGTTTTCAGAAAACGAGAACTCGCGGTTGTTCGCAGAAACGCCGGTAATGGAAAACCTCGTACGATCATTAAGAACATCGGCGGTGAAAAAAAAGACAGAATTCCTGTTTTTTTTTTTTCTTTTTCTCGTGGTCGTAAGTATCGTCTCGCGTTCTAGAGGACGCAGCCGGAACGGACAACATTTGCTGAAGAAGTTCGATGCTAAAGGCGGCGGCCACGCGAGGCGGCCTTGACGGATTTTCTTGCTCCGGCCGCATACTCGTTTTCGACCGCAAAAACGACCGACGACTCCGACCGCCTCGATCCTTCCTCCACTGACCCGACCTCTTTCGATCGATCCCGATCCATAAATCGATCCTCGCGCGACATCGATCGCTCCCGCGAATCTAAACTCGACTCTGTTTGTCCTGGTAACAATTTGGTCGACCAATCGGAGAACACCGTGGAAATTCTGATACAGCATTTAACGATTTATATCGCACGATCTTTGATAACGATCGAATCAGGGAATTCAGTGGAGGCGAAGCAGAATTGAACTTCGGGTCATCGACACCGTCGGTCCGTCCGCGGCGATTCAGAAGGAGAGCAGGAGGTGCTAGGAATAATAGGTGAAGCAGGCTGACCCTGACGGGGCTGTTTTTGTATGTAGTGCATGCTCGTCTTGCAACGGCCGTACAAAAGGACGCCTCCTCGCGATAATCCTTTATCGTTGTCCCGACCTCGTTCGAATAATCCGTATTCATAAACGGTGGAGTCATTAGTGAGCTCTCTTTGAGGCACGCGTGGGCAGGGTGGCGAGCAACCGGTGCGGTGGTTGCCAGAGGTAGCGGACGGAAAAAGGAGCAGCGGGAGAAAAGGGAACGCTTCTTAAAGCGACTCTGACAGAGACGAATACCGTTGATTCCGTTAATTTCGATAGAGTCCGGATAATGGTTCGTTTTCTCCGAGGTGCGAATACTCGAAAGCTGTCCAGGGTCAGTAGACTGGATGCATTTATAGAAAAATCTTATTAGTGCACAAAATGAAAGGTCAAAAGGGCAATGCATGTTGCGACTTCTATAAATTGACGTTAGAAATATCAAATGGCCGTCTCGTCTAAAGAATATAGAGCAGACCCTTAACTCCAGTTTCCATGACAGACAGAAGCGACTGAGAGAGGGATGGAACTACCCCTCATAGATGTTACGTAACCATCGACCGTTCTTCCTCTTGGTCGAGCGTTCGAGTACGTCTCTGCCGGGGAAGGCGCGTCATAACTCAGGGACATCAGCGTTCCGTGATTACGAGTCATTAAGGGGCCGCGAACCGGTCGTACCCTTTTGTGCGTACGCTCTCGTGTGTGCACCACGCACACTCGCGGCTCGTCTCGAAGTTCAAGGTGTACGCGCGGCGATGTTAAGCACGCGCGTGGAACCCGCCGCTCCGCTCGTGGCTCGCGGCTCGACTTTTGGCGCGTCTCGCCGCACCGCGCGGCCAGGGTGAAGAAGCCGGCCATTCAGATGGGTTCACCGGGCCCGCTCGTATTTTAGCATCGCTCGCCACGGGAGTCCCTATCTTCCCTCTTGTTTCTCGCTCGCTGCCTACCTCTCTATCCGCCTCTCTATTCTATCACTGGATACACGTGTATTTCTTTTTCATCGCCTTTTACGACGCCTCCGCACGGAGGTTCCGCACCTGTTTCGAGCTTTTATTAACGCCCGATTCGGATTTCACCGGTCCCTCTCTCGCGTCATCGTCGCAGGATACACCTGACGCTGGTCAATAACCGGTGCAAACGTCGAATCCAGTTTTTAAACATGTTACACGTTTCATAGACTCTTTACGTTATTCGTTACTGACGCGACACGAACTGATCGACGACTCCTATTTCTATAGTACTTCCAGTCTGATTTGAACTCTTACAATATTAAGACAATATATTTATAACGAAAGCTTCTTTATACAATGGGACACGGATACGCCTAAAGGCAAACGAATTTCCATACGCCTTTCCTCTGTTCTTCTGGACAAACTTGGTCGTTTGAATACTTGCACTCGAGGTTGAACAATGAGTGCCCACGCGAATTCCGGATCACGTGAAGGAGGTGCACGGTTAGGAGCGATTCCTTTATCGCGTCGCGTCGATTCGATCCGCGAGATTTACTGACTAATGGCGCAATCTGTAAACTCGCGTGAAACGCGGCTAAAGGTTTCCGCCGTTCTACGGGAATAACTGCGCAGCGGCGTGATGCGCGCAAGAAAATGTTTAAGCGCGGCCGCGGGCAGCAGTCCGTTCGCGCAAGAAACCGCCAATCCGCGACATCCTCCTCCTCGGGACACGCTGCCTAATGCTCGATTCGCATGAGCCGAACCTCTCCCCGGTATGTACTTACATCAGCCTGCAACGATACCGTGTTTTTTTCTATTCAACATCTTTCCCGAATTATTCCGTCTTAATCGCGTATAGAAAAACAATGCACAGAAGTTTCTAAATATTTCTTTAGTATTAGTAATCCAACGTGGACATTTACGATGTTCGAACGATCAGTGATAAATATATGAATGATTCGGGCTGTCATTGAAAGATGAAGTTAAAACGGTGAGATCGTCAGTCGATAGGGTTAATAGCCCCTGGCTTCTCGGTCGTCGCGTAGTGGCTCTGGTTCCTGGCGCGTTCGACACGGTCTCTTAATGTTCCCAGATAGGGCGTCGGTCCCGAAGTTCACGAAAACCCTCGGAGGCAAACAAATTGCCCGAAGGTAGAACGTAAGCGGCCTGGTTCTTTCCGCTCGCGGTTATTTATAACGGCGCAGAGGGCACCGAAACGGCGGAGTGCGTTAACGCGGTTTTTGCTCGGAAGTCAGATAAAAGTCGCATCCTGCCGCGGTTCCAGCGTCGCGACCAAATTCGCAAAAACCGTGGTGCCTCCGCCGCGTGAACAATCTCGCGCTTATAGCGACTTCGGGTGCGTGTTCTGGCCGTGTCCGGTCGTGTTCGACGACCAGAGAGAGAGAGGGAGAGAGAGAGGAAAAAAAAGAGAGAGAGACGTTCTGTGGACTGTTTCGACCGCGTGAAGAGAAGTCGCCGTGAAGAAGGAGTTGAAACGGGAAAGGGAAAAAAGGGATGGCGAAACAGCGCGGATATTATTTGCCATTAAAGCGAGGGACAATTTAAAAGCTATTACTATTACTCACGGCCTTCGTGTGTATACGCTGGCCAGCTCTCTCGGCCGGTGTTTCGCGATCGCGGACACACATCTCCGGTTTTCTGCCCGGGACGAGCGTTTCTTCGGGACCCCGGGATCGTTTCGCGTGACCGACCGCGTTTCGTGTCCTTCCGCCGTGTCCCGTCCCTCCCCTCGCTCGATTTTCACGCCGCGAGTGCTTCGCCGCGAAACGGAAAACAAATTGCCTGGCTCTTCTTCAACGAAATCATTTTATCTATTAGACGCTGTAGCTGCTTCGTCTTTGTGATAATAACACAATGTCGGTGTCCGATTCGCGAGACATCGGATGGATCATTCGGCGAGTGCCGTTAACGGCGAACGAGTCGGTTGTGGCTACCAAGCGTTCTTGAATTCCTCCGGGAGATTAAGATCGGTAAGGAAAAGTCTCGGTTACGGCGACGTATGCGTGCCTCGGCTCCGTTAAGACGAAACGCGCAAGAAACCACGGGACGAGAGGGGATGAAAGGCGAGAAACGAGGGAGGGGAACAAAAATCTCAGAGGTCGTCCCTCGTTAGTCTCGGATCCTCGTGTAACGGCGTCGGTCCATTAAACAAACAGCAATTTCGGGTACTCGGACTTCGCAACACCGCGAACCGAGCCGGAAATCCTGCGAATTCGTGAAATGCTCTGTAATCCCGGCCGAAACAATTAACTCGTCGTTCTCGTCGAGTGATTTAGCGTGGAGAAACGTACTTTACGAGTCTCCCCAGTCTCGTTTTATTCAGTTTGATCGCGGACGAACAATTTCGGCAGTCACGACGCCGACTGGAAATCGTTCGATGCGCTCCGACAAAAACTACCCTCGAGCGCGGCTAGTGTGTGCGGGCAGGTGCAAGATTAGAATTGAAATCGGAAGGGAACTATCGCCTCCGGAAATGCATCTGTACGAAACGTTTCGTTTTCTTCGAAGCGATGAAAGGGACCGGTGTCCAGGCAAATTACACGGATTTCGAGATCCGGTTCAAATAAAAAGAAACACTGCACACCGCGCCCTGTTTTAAATAAAAATTCAAATTCGGAGCTGGACGCGCACGAATTTCGTCCGAGATCGCCTCGGTAATCGGAAATAACGGCCGATCGGACTTTATACACATGTTGCAATTGTCGGGGAGAAAGGTCGGCCGTTGCGGAGGACCGGGAGTGGTTTATCGCGGACCCTCGTCTCCTCTTCCGTTCGGAGTAGCAATAATTAGGCGTAGTCTTTCGAGGGTGCGGCGATCCGCGCGCATGATATTCCTGTCAGCGAGGAACAAACTGGCCTACGTAGAAACTGGGCCTTACCGCGCGGTGGACTTTCGAGACAAACGGCCGATAGGCAATTAATCTCGTCCCTCTTTTCATTCCAGTTACCCGCGCCCCGGCCAGAAAGAAAAAGGTTCACGCGAGACGGATGAAAAATTCCGCGCGGTATCGTCGTCCGTATACACCGTCCAATTTGAGAGCGATATCTTAACCCGTCGGGCCGCAATAAATAATGCCGGTTGCTGGAACTTCTGGACACGCGGATTAACGCTGAGAGCCCTCGTTCTATCGCGATTAACCCTTTCCCCTTTTCGCGACGCGCCGTTTTCGCGCCCATCTTCATCGCGATCGAGAAAAACGATTTGCCCGCTCGTTAGTCTCACGAATTGCCACCGCGATCTCAATTCTCCGTGCTCGTTAACCTTTCATAACTGTGATTCATTCTCTAATCCCTATTAACGCCGTCATAGTCACCGAGAGATAAAAGAAAAACCAGGCGTGCGGATTGTACGAGCGGAACAGGTGCGCCGAGCGGATCGTCGTGTCTCGATCTCGCGCTCCGGATACATGTACCGCCTACGGTGCCGGATTATGGAACGATACCGCTGAAAACGACGGAGATCGAGTTCTGGACGATCGGCGCGGCGTTTCGTACCTTTCTCGGCTCCGCGGTGAGTCGTTGCGTGCTCCGAAAGGCGAACTCGCTGCCCGGAGAGTTCGTTTCGTCGCGAGGAGTAGGAAGGCGTTTCCGGTGAAATAAATTTGCCCTCACGCGAAACGAGTCGCCTCCCTCTTTTTCTTTTCACCCTCTTCGTACGCTTCGGGATGATTATGGTAAAGTGGCGCGTACAATGGCTCTTTGAATAAACATAAGACGGTTTAGAGGTATAAAAGTAACGAGAGACCCACTGCTACATTGTCTTCTCTATGCTTATTACGTTAATAAGCGTTCGGTCGAGCAAAATTTTATTCAGATTAACGAGGACCCTACGTGATCTCTAATAGCATGCGAACGAGCGTTTAATTGCATTCATTAGGAGGTCGCACTTTTCTTGCACAATAGAGAAGTCAAACAATCGTTTTCCGAACAAATTAAGCGAGGGTACGGCCTCCGGTAACTGTGGGATTCACGCGCGGCTCGCAGCACAATCGGTAATGCATGCAATTTTTTCGCGTGTCCGCTTTGACGCGTCGCGCGTGCTTTCTTCCGCGCGATCAATCGCCGCCTTACGAGCCAAAGAAAGGGACTTAATCGTAAAGGATTCATTAAACGCGTCTCGGTGCGTACCGCTTTGTGGCCGGGCTCTATCCGTTGATCGTCATTCAGCTCGTGTAGCCCGGCGACGATGAAAAGTTTATCGAGGCGCTTCGTCATGCAGCCGCGGTCCTGGCATCGCGCACCGTCGTCGTCCCGCGGTTCCGTTCGCCGACTGTCAATCGACCAATACGAACGACCTATCGCTTGTCGTGTGTCAATCATACGATCTATAGTCGTCGCGCGTATCTGCCACCCCTCCGTCTCGATTGACCCGTTCGCATCATGCAAAAGAATGGCTCTATCGTCGACGTTCTTCCCCGTCGTACTGTCTTCTTATTCGTTCGATTTGTCATTCGCGTTTTAATTCTGACTACTGATTAGAATTGAAACGTGAAACACGGCAATTAAATTCTAATTGCGTCGGCTCGGACAGAAAGAGCTCTGGTCTACCTACGGGTACGATCGGTCGGCGATAGGGCTGCACGAAACCAGTGGTGAATAGTACAAAAACCAGATCTATTCGGTGAAATTAAGCGTATCGCGCACGAGTTTCTGGCGATTATCGCGGTAGCGTGAAACTGACGTACAAATCGAACGGGATTAAAAGCTTTCCCTCTTCTCGGTAATTAATGTCGGGGGTTTATTCAAATCGCGATCCCCAAAACGATACCAGCGGATCTGCACGCGTAAGTACTTACACAGTTGCACACTCGTGCGCGGGGATTCATCGCCGAGTTTCTCGCGGCTTTCGCTCGTAATTAACGTGACCGGCTGGTTCCGTTAATTCGGCAAACTCGTGGCTCGAGTACGGAGCGGGGCAAAGTTTTGTGTAAAAGAAAAAACCAATAGAAAGAGAGAGAGAGAGAGAGAGGGAATTATTTCGTGGAACGGTGTATCGATACGCCAGATCTCTCCCTCCAGTTGACCATCGTGAGACGCTAGCCGCATAAATTAATTACCGAGCCGGATTTCGCCGAGTAACTTCGTGATTAGAGAATCGCGCCGGTTTAATCAGTCCTTACCGGTGGACTTAACCCTTCTCTATTGTACCTCCTGTACCGTGTGATTCAGCGCTGCTTTCAATTTACGCGATGCCCTTTTCTCGTCCATAGCGCGTTTCACTTCGTTATTCGTCTCGACGATTCAATGTCTATCGATTAAACGTAACCTCGGTTCGCACACGGTTTTCCCGAATCGTGCGATTTCTCACGAGGTCAAAGGGAGGAATCTAGACGCGGACAGGCGAAATGAAAAGGATGAGAAGACGCGGGTCCCTGCCTCTGTCTCCGCCGCGTGGTGTCCGCGCGCGCCGCTCCGGTCCCGGAGGTTTTACATTCCGCGAGGATTTATCGTAGGAAAGAACGTGTTCGCCGGTGTAGAAGCAGCGTCATGAAGGGGACCGTGATCTGACTACATCTCTTATACGTGCCATATATCAGCATGCCGGCAGGCAAGAAGGGCACGAGTGAGTTCTGTGTCCTAGCAGAGGCGACTATGATACATACAATTGTATACACTACCGTCGACGACTATTCGGCACGATGGAATAATAAACTTTCATCCGTTCGACGAGAATTGTTTAACTAAATCGAATGAGAAATTCTTGTGCGAGCGTGGAGAGTCGAGGACGGATTTGGACGAGGTACCCGGTGTACCGAAAAGGGAGAGAAACGCGGTGAAAAGAACGGAACGCGGAGAGAGATTTTCGTATTATTTCTGGGAATTCTTGGGGCGATCGTCCTAGCGATACCGGGGACCGAGGACTCTCGGTGCCCTTTTTCCTTCCATCTTGGTCGGTGGATCCGAGATGGACAAGGGAGAAAAACGAGGAAGGAGGAACCGGGCGGAGAAGACGGGTTCGGTGTAATCGAGATGACTCGTGGCTCTCGTACGCGAGCCTGACGAGACTTCGCCAACAGCCGTCCTTTCTTCCACGGCGAGTTTCTTAAAAGGCTGCCCGGCCGTGGCTTGGGTTTCTTGCGTTTTCGACGGTACGGCGCGGCGCTTCGGAGACCGTCCGCAGCTTTTTAAGCACCCGACGGGAAAGGAGCGATTAAACATCGATCGACGCTCGCCTTCTTCTCCTTCGGCCCCGACCCATTTGCATCATCGCCGGAACGTCACACAGTCGATCGCTTAATTATTAATTAAACGTAAGAGAGTCTAGACACGGTAAAAAGAATTGCTCGGCTAGGAACGCGAACGAACCGAAGCTTTTGCCGCTGGTCACAGCGTGGAGATCAGTTTGGTCTGTTTTGATGGGACGAATCGAGCGAGATGAGCCAATCCGATTACGAGAGCTCGTCTACCAGGGATTAGGCTACTGGGAACGAACGTATAGGATTCGATGACGTTTACGTCTGTCACGGCCGAGCCGATGAGAACGCGTTCGTCATTCCGTTCGTCGTCGCCGTCGTACGGTTTCCGCGCGGAGTGACGTGGCATGACGTAATTAAACAGGTTCGCATTATCCGGCAGTTAACTCGAACGTCGTAGGAGACACCTCTTTTTTGCGCGTTCGACCGAGGAAGCCCGCGCCGAGGAATCTCTCTCCTTCTTTCATTCTCTCGCCATTTGCTCGTTTTTCTGGCCACCGTCGTTCGCCCTCTTCTTCCATCGTTCGTGGCCCCCGCGCTCGCTTTTTCTGCTTTCCTCGTGCCGTTCCGTCGTGTCGCCGCGCCGCCGCGGTACCAGCCGTGGCTTTCGAGGTAGCCGTAAACCTAAGCTTAATTACCAATTAGACGTAGCGCGGAGGCACGCTTTCGCCCCGGTAAAATCGATTAGTGGCATTGGACACGACGAGTAGGTACACTGTTGCGCTCCGCGCTTCTCGTCGCGGATTACGCCTTCGACGCTCGCACCAATTTATCGGTTACACTGCCGCGCACGCTAGCACGTTCACGCGGCACACGTCCCCGTGCCATCGGTTATGCAAATGTCGCGGAAATCCACGGCTAATTTCCAATTCTCGAAACTCCTTTCGAGATCGAAATCGGGATGACTTTCCTGAAAGCTTTCTCGCACGGGAAGATAGTAGATACCGATAGAACCGTCCCGGCGCAACGTTCCTCCGTCGATTATCTTTCTTTTTTTTTTTTCTTCTTCTCCTCCCTTTACGAATCCGTGTCGTGACGATTACCGCGTGAGAAACGGTGGACCACAGGCAAGAGTTATTCGGGAAAGGGGTAATTAATACGTTTCACCGCGCTTTCGAGCGGAGATCAGCCGCGGAAGATAAACGAACGTGAAAGTGGACCGAGTTTTATTGCCGCGGGCGTGCCGTTTTAGTGTTCGGTGACAGGGGAAGAGAGTATCCGGTGTCCACTGTCCGATCCCGGGTAAACGGCGAACGGCACGCCGCGCTGGCGTTGCATCCCCACCGGTTTTGGCCCCGGCACCGCACCGGTGCATGCGCGTATGTCGATGCTCGCCGGTAACACAGGAACTCCTGGACCCGGGTATCAATTTATGCGGTGCAACATTGTCGGAACGCGGCGCGCTCGGTCCTGGCCCTGGGCTGTCGGGGGGGTCCAGGGGATGGGCCCACACGGAGAAACCCTGTATTCGGAGGAGAGTGCCTTGTAAGACCGTGTTGGAGGTCAACGATAATTCAGGCAGGAGAATACCAGACCGGTTAACTCTCGAGCTGAAAGAACTCCGCTTAAAATTATACTCGTTCGATTCGAGCACGGCTCCCTCTATTCCTCTTCTTCTTATTCCTCTAGTATCCCTACTTCGCCCCGTCCGCCTGCCTCCTTCTTCTTCCTCCTTTTTCCGCCGTCGCCTCTTCTCTCGTTTGTTTTTTTTCTTTTGCTTCTCTTCCTCCTCGCTACTTCTGTTTCTCTTTCCGCCTCCCTCGCTGCTTCCCTCCTTTTCTCGCCTTCTTGCCCCCGACTATGTCTTTTTTCATTTCCGGCCTGGATGGACGGGTGGCGGAGAAATGCGTACACCGACAGGAAAGATTCCTTCCGCGGTTCTCGTTTTTTACTAGAATCCGTTTTTCGACCGAACGCTTTCGGGTCTGTCGATCATGCGCGCGAGTCGCGATCCATCCCCTGGCTATTGCCAGGAACCCGACTCTAGCCCGAAGCTATTTTATTTTCCGTCGCGCGTCCAGGAAATCGAAGCCGAAACGAGTGACGCGCGAACGTACCGCTCCTTCCCGTCTCGGGGACTCAATTTGTCAACGAGGATGCGTGGTTTTGTTCCACGAACCGGATTCCGTTTCGATGTACGCGCGACGGGGCAAAACACGCGGCACCCGCCTCGGCACGCTCGCCCGATTATCGAGCTCGCCCTCCTTCCGTTCGTTTCTCTTTCTCCCCGGGTCCCCTGTCCCCTTTTTTCCCTCCTACCCGGGGCCCTCGCGAGGAGGCGGTAGTACCCGCCGAATTAGTCGACACGATCCAGCGGAGCCGATGAATATTCGATGACGACTGTTACCTCGTGTCGCGTCGCGATTCCTCTGCGAGGAGAGATCCGTGTCGAAAGCGGCGGCTCCGCTCGCGTATTTAACGGTACAACCGATTCGCGAGGGGCCGTAAAAGAGATTCGTGGCAACGACCGAAGTCGGAGCGAAACGTTCTCGAAACGGCGATGGAACGGATCCTGGTGTTCGGGTCCTCGAAATTCGAAACAACGAGGACGCCGGCAAGGACGGGCAGTGATTCGCGAAGAAGGGTTGAGACTCGGGGGGGGAAAGAAACAGCCTCTTTGGGCGATTAAACGACTTAGGGTCCGCGGCAAAGACGCCGCCTCGTGGACAACGCCGGAATGATTAAATAAATTAGTTGCTCGACAAAGAAGGGCAGCAGCGGGATGACTGGATGGGATCCGTACGAGGATAATCCCCGTTGAATTCCTCCTAATTATGCACGCTTTACCACCATGGCTACCAGACCGAAGGAGCGAGCCAGCGATCGGGTGGCGCAGGGGGAACCAGCGAAACGGGAAGAAAGAGAACGGCGGGAGCACGCGAGAAGAAGAGGGCAGGACACGTTCTTCTCCTACCTATACGTTCCACGTTTCTTCTCTCTTTTCTCCTGCGAGTGTTTCGCCCGTTCGTTCGACCGTCTCGTTCTACCACGAGGTGCTGCACTTCTACCGTCGGCCGTTTTACTTACAAATTCAATAAGCATATATCATATTTAATGCACGCCCTGAGCCGGGAATGTTTCGGCCGCCCTGGACCACCTTTCTCTTCGTGGCTGCTGGACTCTTCTCTCCTCATTCAGCTTTGTACTCGCCCTACCCTTTCTCTCTCTCTCTTTCTCTCACCGTCTGAAACTTCGTCGCGT